TAATAAAAGAAAGAAAATTAAAATTTTCTTACATAAGTTGAAACAAATGTACCTATGAATATATATTTATTATGATTGGTTTTATGGATAGTTGTCATAAGTTTCCAAAAATGTAGCGCAAATATCCATATATTTACCCATTTGCAAGTGACATCTAAATACCACCTTTTCAAATGTTGGAAGCATCATTAAGTCCTAAATCCATTGTGTAATAGGCTGGCATTTATCTTTTCAAAGTTGTAATAGTCTTTTAGCTGTGAAGAGGGTCCAGAAAATCTATTTATGGTTACCTTGTGTTAACTTTCAAGGAGAAGTAAATGTTAAAGCATTCCATTGCTAAGCATTTCAATCCATATTATGACTTCCTGCCAAAAAGAGGCAAGTATTGGATACTATCAAATATATGGGTAAGAGATGCATGAGCAGTATTACACCTCCAGCAGTTAGCTGACTTAAACTTTTATTATAAAGATGTTGCATTCAGTAAACTGGATTTGTTTATTTGGTGAATAAAATGTAATCTAAGATCCATTGGTGCTTGGATGTCATAGATGTGAAATCCATGATTAGGTAAAATAGAAGAGTCCAGTTCCCTATTGCATTCCCAATTACTGCCCTGTGTATCATATCTATTCACCAACAATAAATATTGGTGAATATGGATCATGGGTTGATATATCTGTTCAGCCACTGAGGATGACAAAAATGCATCATCAGGACCTCCAAACTGATCCAAATTAAAAATCAACTTATTTGTCCATGTCTGCCACATGAACATTTTCTAACCAATTTTTAAATCTGGGTTTTTCCATAGAGTCAGTTGTATTTAAGAATGATATCAAACTGTAATTGATGCAATGGTCTAAGACCCAGAGGATTCCATTTTTTGGGTATAAGACCCAGAGGATTCAGTTCAGTGCTAGGCACAAATAGAGGAATCCCAGAAAAAATATGGATAATCCTAGGTGTAATGCTCATCCTTAAATGTTGTAAACTATCCAGACAGCCATGTGGCTATTGTGACGGTCTATAAAAACATAAATAAATAAAATCTTAAGTTACCCCATAAACTCAGTTTTTGAGATCCCCACCTATCTATATCCTGCGAGATCTCATTAATCAATTTATTCAGATTTAGCTTGATTAAATAAGAGATGCTTCTGGGAATATGCATTCCCAAATAAGTAACAGGAACTAGTTAATACACTAGGAGATATAGAATCTCTGATTGGCATCAGTTTTCAGTTACTTGAAAAGCCAGATGAATCACCAAAAGTGTTAATTACCTGCACCAGTTGCAGCAGATTACAATCAGAGGTTAAATGTATCCTATGGCTGGAGTGAGGCACAACAGACAGGATTGTTCTGCTGCCATGTTTTGTGCTGGATATTTTATCTAGATTTTGACTAGATAAAGGTTTTGGCTAGATAAAGTTCTAGGGGGGGGCAGGGGAGGAAAGGAGGCTTGGAGGCTGATAGGAGCCCTTGGCCCCAGCCTCCTCCCTCTGAGGATTACTTGGATTCCACAGCTGCAACTCCAAATAAGCGGGACCTCATTAGGATGTTCACTGTTTTCCCACTATGTCATAGACAGGGTGGGGCAGATTTCTCCTGTTGTGAAAGGGTTTTCTATTTATATTTAATGTCCTGCAGCTCCTGATGAATTTGTGCTGTTGCAGAAATAGCAAAAAAAGGTTTATTCATTGCCTATGCTGGCGCATATGGATTTGCAAAGGAGTTGGCTTTCCATACTGCTTGAAGAGTGGGGTAAACATGCTTTAAGCAAATAAATATTTAAACCATGATAGTTGGTCTTACATAATAGGCACTTGCCATTTTAGCAAGTAGCTGTAAAAGCTATTTTAATTTGGTCTGCCTGTATTTATCCCTCTCTTGATTTCCTTTGAACAGTGCTGTTATGCACCCCACCCATAATCTCCTACTTTTTTTGTTATATGATGGATCAAAGAAAAAACATTTAGAACGTCTTTCATTTAAATTAGCAAATTGTTCAGGTTGGGAAACAATTTTATTTTTACTGGAAGACTTTTCCCCCTTTGTGACTTTAGAACAGCTTTGTTCACTCTGGCTGCAGTGCAACCTTGGACAAAGAATCAGGATTGCTAGCATAGAGCAGGGGGTGGGGAGGCAGTAGACCTTCCAGTGTTTTGGACTTCTGCTCTTAGCATTCCTGACCACTGGCCATGCTGACAGGAGCTTCTGGGAACTGAAGGCTAAAACATCTGGAGATTTACTTTCTGCTCATGCTGTCTAGGGGACTCTGATGTATACAGATAATAGATTGTCTTACTTTCAGCTAGGATTTTATCACAATTGGTTAACGGTTGTATTGTACTTGCTTAATTATTCATTTATTTAAAACATTTCTTGGCCACATTTCAGGGCACAGCAAAAATACATTAAAAACAGTGACAGCAGCAAGTCTTCTAAAAAGCAGCAAACACCAGCATAAAACTTACGACAGACAGTGGCATGCACAAACTGCCCTGCTTTAACATAATCAAATACAGTAGTACATTTTCAGAGCCTCTTAAAAGCCCTGAGAAGCCTATAATGATGGGGCCTGGTGAACCTGCAATGACAACTTATTCCAGAAGTGTGAGGCCACTTTGGAGAAGGCCATGTCTCGTGTGATCACCTGTCTAAGTGATTTCAGAGGTGAGCAAATGAGAAGTGCCTTCCTTGATGCTCTTAAAGTGCAGGCAGGCTGCTCTGAGTAAAAGTGACCCTTTGAATAATGTAGCCCCAAGCCATTTTAAGGCTTTAGAGGTCAAAACCAGCACTCAGAAACACACTAGTAACTAGTATAGTTGGATCAGTATAGACATTATTTTATTTGTTATTTATTAAAAGATTTTTATATGGTTGAATCACCTCATTCCCACTAACATTTGGGCAGATGCCTTCTGCATTTTGTTTCAGCTGAAGCTTCTGAATTGTCTTCAAAGGCCACCCATGTGCAGGGCATTACAGCAGTCTAGCCTGGATATCACTAGTGCATGGAGAAATGTGGTAAGGTCCGTCATCTCCACATAGGGTCTCAGCTGGTGTACCAGTCTAACCAGGTGAAACACAGGCCTGGATTCTGCAGAATATACCATGCTTAAGACTCCCAGACTGCAAATGTGGATTTTTAAGGGGAATGCAATCTTGTCTAAGACCAATTATGAACTTCTATCCATAGTAGCTGGTTTTTCAACTCTCAGAGTTTTCCTCCTTTCTGGATTACTTTTCAGCTTGTTGACCCTTCTCCACCCCAAAACAGCACCCAGGCACTGGTTCATGAGCTTCAGCAGCCTCCTGGGTTATGTAGATAGAAAAGAGATGTGGAGCTGAGTATTGCTTGCCTGCTGATGACCAGAAGAGGCCAAACCCCCATGATGATTTATCTCAGTGGTTTTCTGTAGATGTTAAAAAGCATGGGGTAGGGGTAAGGATGGGGCCTTGAGATGGAACAGAAGTTCCCCAGCACTGGGATTTCTGACAATAGTGGCGGGGTCTGGGAGTCAGTTGTCATAACATTTAAGGCAAGGCGAAAATGTTGTATTCTTCGAATGTATAGATTTGGGGGATGTGACCCTACAATAACCTTACCCTGTCTTGAATCTGAGATTAAGACTGCAGTCCAAAGCTGCAGGGAGAATTAAATTAGTTGCTGTATGTACCACTTTAAATACCTTGATCTGCTACTGAATTCTTACCAGGCGAATGAGCTAATTATATGTATTTTCTCCTCTCACAGAGGAGCAATATACATCTGTGCTAAAACAAGACCAACATGTTTAGAAATTAATGATGGAGAAAGCATTGTGTTGGGCAGTTAAGCCACAGCAGTAAACATGTGCCCTGCGGAGGCTGTTTTCACTAGTGTAGCAAAGGAGCACACTGAGCACGCTGCTACACTAATAACCAAGGTGCCGGATTCTGCTTTCTAAACTGATTATAAATCTGCTGCAGTAAGACCCTGCAGATCTGAAAATCTTTTTGTCCCCAGTGTTTTGTTCTTAATTTTCAAGCATTTCCAGATTCTGTACTATGCCGGTTTCTTCATTTCTGTATTTGTTTGGTTTTGGGGTTGGAACATCTTTAGAGTATCAACTTCCTTCTTCCCACATCCTAATGCCACAACTGTTGCAGATAAAAGTGTGGCAGAATAGGGAGTGAGGTCTGTGAACAGCATCAGTGTTATTACATAGTGATTGACTGATTGTTTCTGTCATCATGGTCATAGCAAGGAAAATATGCATACATATACGGGCTTGGTAAAACTCACTAAAACAATGAAAGGCTTGTGGAAAACAAAGTCAAAACTAAAATTTCTGATTCTAATTTACAAGGCCTTGCTGCAGTTTGTTTTTGACCTGTCTTCTCTTCTGTGAGGACGGTAAACTCCATGGAAAGAAATCTGCGCAGTGTAGTTGAGATTAAAAAGTTACAGGTCATAGGGGGGTAAACATGGTGTAGTGCCTAGAATGTGTGTCTTGGACTACAAAGGCCTAAGTTCAAATTCCTACTCAGCCTTAAAATTCACTGGATGTTCTTGGGTCAATCCTTTTCTCTCAGCCTGGCCTACCTTTCAGGGTTATTGTGAGGCTAAATGAAAGTGGGGAAGGAAGCACTTACATTGCCTTGAGGTCTGTGAAAGGGAGGGTGGGGTATAAATGCAAGAAATAATCACATAAGGAATTACTGTGTTGCAGACAAGAATTTTCTGACCTATTGCTCCTTACTTGATTGTAAAACCTGTTACAAAAATGAACTTGGAACATTTAAAAATTACTATCTCTGAGCATTCTTGTAGCTAAGATTAGGACTGCAGATACAAGTCACACAGACTTTTAGAATGGGTGGGACACTACATGATCTTAAATTGTTGGAAGAATCTGCAAGCGGGTCTTTTCCATGGTTATTGTCCCTGAGAGTCAAACGTTTTGGCTGTCTCCTGCAGCTGAAGTCACAACTGTGCCTTCTGTCATCAGGAAAGAGACAGTGCCATGCAGTGTATGCATAAGAAAACACAGGACTTGGAACTGGAGCACAGTAGCTGCTTGGAAGCGCTGAGGCGGCAGGCCAGTGAACTTGAATTCAGTGCTCAGCGAGAGGCGCGATTTCAAAAAGAACTCGAGGTAAGCACCTTCCCAGGTCCTCCCTCAGACAAAGTGCTCCTGTTAGCTCCTGAAGGGTGCCTGCAGCTGTATGTTCACTGGTTCGTCCTTCGGTTTGCAAACCAAGTGGTTGTCATGCCAAGAAGGAGAGTGCCAGGCTAGTGGGATCAGAGCCCTGGCATGGCTGTTTGGAAGCCATGGTTCTCTGTGCCAGCTTTCACTTCCCACTCTGGGCCAGCCAATCCCCTCCCCACCCTTACATAGTTTTCCTTCTGTCATGCTGGATTCATTACCCAGAAACTCTCACGCTCCTGCTTGTGGTTCACAAACTCTGCTGATTCTTTAGCCCCCTCTTTGCCTCCCCAGCTGGCTCCTTGCTGCCCTTTCTGGCCCCTGTAGCTGCTCTCTGTAGGTCCTGGCTGCAACTGACCAGACAATAGTGATGGGGCTCCCTTTTTCTTTCCTCCCTTCATTTTTTTGGTAGCTTGGGCCTGCCTGCTGTCTCCATTTTTAAGCATACCTTTGGACCCAAACACAGTGCTCAGAGGTGTTCAGGGGACAGCAAACTGGATGCCCTTACTTTGATTTGAACCCAATTTTCTTGCTGGTAAGAACATTGTATTTTTAAATTGGGAGGTGGCATTTTGGGAGGCACCAGAAAGGGTGTCCAGGGGTGCACTAGTGCCCATAGGTACCCTATTGTCTATCCCTGCATTATTGGGGTCCAGCCTATAAGAGAGAAAGAATTGGATCCAAATCCTTCCATAAGCAAGTGTCATGGTTACCGCTTTTTTGCTGATGCATGTAGGGAAACAGAGTAGAATAGGCCTATATGTTTGTTGTTATGTGCTGCCAAGTTGTCTCCAACCCTATGAATGGAAGACCTCCAAAATGCCTGACCTTGCTAGTGCTGCTCAGCTCTTGTGAACAGGCCTGTGATGTACATATTTGAATAAGTTAAAGGTGGACTTGAGTGTGATACACAGAGATGTGGAGATCTTCCAGAGTGAATCTTTAACCTGGGCTCCATTCATATGACCAGTTCAGTGGTGTGGTAGCCACTGCACTGTCTTTACGCTCCACCATAAGGCTGCAGGTTCGGCCCTCCTCCTTGAAAAATCCCATGTTAATACTACCCTTTCCCAGGAAGAAACAATGCCAGTGCGGGGAAGTTTCATAGTTTATAGATTTGATGCTACAAAGCATGGAAAAAGTGAATTTTGGCTGGCTACTACTGTTTGCATTGCACTACATTGCCTTAGGTTTTGGATCCATGCCTCAGGTTTCATTCACTAATAAGTTTTTCTGTAATACTGTATTGAAAGGTTTTTATTTCTAATTTTACATTCAACAATGTTGGAGGTCAGAAATCTTCCCCTCCCTCTGGAGTCCCTTCTGTGATCCCCACATCTGATTCAGAAGGCTTGGGAACCTAGCCCCCTCTCCCCTGAACAGGAGTACAGAAGGAGGAAAGGATAGGGAAGTCCTGCTGCATGAATGAAAGTCTTGGTAGACGTGTGTTCAGGAGAGAGACATACCTGTTCATAAAGTGTGCCACTGTAATGCCAGATATTTCTGATGTTACAACCATGCGAGACTTGCAACAATTTCAGCTGCTTCCATCTTAACTGTTTCTCTACTTGCCTCTTCATGCTAGGAGCCAAAATAAGTTTTTCCTCATTTTTCTCCCCAGCCAGACTGGAACATTAAGGAAATCGCATGCCAGGTGATGAAGGATTGAGAGTGATCCTAAATTAGCCTTTCCTCAACCTATGTCTTCCAGATAGGTTGGAGTTGAATGTAGAATGCTGGCTAGGGGTGATGGGAGATGTAGTCTCATCATCCCTAGCTTGGAGGGCACCAGCTAGAGGAAGGCTGCTCAGAATCATGCTACGTGCCAAACTAAAGAGGCTTTCCTTAAGGCAACAAGAAGGACTGAAATCAAAACCATATCACTGCCAGAAATATTAAGTTCTTTGTCTTCTGTTTTGTGCTAACTTGTGATAAACAATCAAACATTTCCCAGTGCTATATGATGCTACAATAGTGTTATGAGTCAAGCAACAAGGAGAAACTGAGAAGTTCTGTGGTTGCAGCGCAGGAAGAAAAATGCCCAGGGAAAGATTTGTTAGCGTTTCCTCTGCTGTTCTTTTTCATATGGAGGAAGGGAGCACAGAGGCAGCTGAAGTCAGTATTCTTGTATAGTCTTCTTTTCCTGCCTCCCTGCATCCCATGCCCATTTTCAGCATTATATGATTTTTTCAGGATTTCTGCAAAACTGCACATCGGTGGTGGTGGTGGTGATAGTGATAATAGCATGCTCTGCTCTTTCTGGCATGGATCACACTCCCCTCCAAAGAAAGATAAAGTGTTAGGACATGTTCCAGTCAAGGAAGGCAGTCACAAATTACTTATGCAGCTTTATAGAATGAAATTATGATGAAAGAGGCAAAGCAAAATGGGACATGCTTTTAATAAACAGTGGAAATAATTGTCAGAATAGCTTAATAAACTTAAATTTTAAAATGCTGCAGTTCACTTGATATTTAAGTGGAGCTTATATTAGCCCATTGCTACAAGGAAGAAATGTGATGGTCCTTTAGTTCCCTCTAGTGGTTGTAAGAGGAAATGTTACTAGTTGGCAAGAGAAAGCTGGTTTCCGTGCTGATTTAGAACAGGTTTTCTCCTGCACTTGAAAGCTTATGTACATGTAGACATTTTTCTTTAGCACATTGTTATGGATACTTTATAATATTGGCCTCCCTCTTGCTGCAGGCTTCTGACTGAGCACACTATTTGTGCCGGCAGAATGGAGGCAATCCTCCATCTGCACTCCCCCTTGCCCTTGATGATCCCCTTCAGAAGGTTGAGGGATCCTCCTGAACAACATGTAAATGATATAGAAATTCTCAGAAATTGATGTTTTCTTTCCTCTGCACTATTGTTTCTGCAGCTTAGCAGTAGAGCACTTTGCGTGGAAAAGGCTCCAGGTTCAGTCCAACCTCTCTGCTTGGGCTGAGAAATGGACCTCCAGAAAGCCACTGCTGGTTAGCATAGACAGCACTGAGCTACATGGACCAAAGGTTCAGCTCAGTAGAAGGCAGCTTCCTAACACAGAGGTCTAGTAACTCTACTGTAATGAAAAAATAATAATCAGAATGACCCACAGAATATTTTAATTTAAATTTTAAGGGACAAAAGTATCTTCTCAAAAGTAAACTGTCTAAATCCAGAGAAGATTGCCTGTGTGTTTAAATTGTACCAAAACCAACAAGATGTAAGTGTCTATTTGCTTGTCTTATTAACTAATAGGATGTGACTTTAGAGCTACTCAGACTATTAGTCTGCAAGAAGTAAGCCCAAGTGAATGTACTGGTTCTTTTGGATTGGGTCATTTTTTTAAAAAATAGTGTGAAAAATTATTTAGCATCCATTACACTATTGCTAAGGAACACATAATAAAAATGTCAATATTGTTCTTCTACAATAAGGACTAGGACTCTTGAATTGATTCTGCCTGGATTGTAGCCTTCTTACTGCCTATCATTGGAGACCTAATCTGGACCTGTTTGCCAGCCTAAACATTCCTTGTCAATTAGGTCTGGTTAAAATCAGAAGACTGCTAATATAGCTCTATATTTAATGGTGTACAGTCTGAGATTCATATAGTCGTGAATGGCTTTGGAGTGCTCTTGTCCCCTAGATTTTTTCTTTCTTTTTTAGCATTCTCATTCTTTTACCTTAAAATGCAAAAGTGTATAACAGATGGAAAGCAATTCCTCAAATGGGATGAAGAAAGTATTTTTTAGACCTATGGGGTGGGGTAGCTAGATTTATTATTTTATTCAAACCAGAATTATTAAACTGTTAAGACTTATGAATCAGGAGGCTATCAGCTCATTTAGCTGGACTCATGGTCCATAGCATGATTTGCAACTGCTGAGTTTCCTTAAGCAGTAAATGTAAATAGATAATTCCTTCTTGCCTTCCAGGATGTCTTTATATTGATGCTAGCATATGCCGTAAGATCTGTTGGATAAACAAATGTTGGATTGTTTACATAAGCTAGCAGGCCAGATAGGATGCTGGTGGTCCTGGGGCCCTTATGTGTAAGACTTTATTTACTTGTGTGATGTCCCAGAAACCTCAAGCGTGCCAGTGGGCTCTTTGGTGGTACCCTCCTCCTTGGTTTTGCTGTAATTTACAGGAAGAAATAATGTGCTTAATTATGCCTGTATGGGAGGCACTTAACTGTTGTGGATTCTCTTGATCTCAGAGTAGTCTACTTGTTACTTTCAAAGTGGCAGAAAAATCAGAAATCAAGATCTCCCAATTTTGTAACTTAAACAAGGAGGGGGAAAATTGGGGATGAAATTTTAAGCTGCTTACAACGGAGATGTTGACTTACACTAAAATGGTGAAGACTTTGATTTAATTGGCCTTTATAAAAAGTTGGATTTTCTACAGAAATACCAAGGTCAATTTAATTACCCCTTAACCATTTATATAAAAGTAAATACACAGAGTTTGAAACATAGCAATAAAGAAAGTATTATAGTTCACCAAGATCAGAAGTTAACAGTTGAAGTAAATAAGGAGGTCTTCAGGTGTTCTCTAAAACTAAGTAGATAGCTTGTTCAGTTCACCTCTCTTAAGGATGGTATTCAATATTATGATACTCAAATGGAGATCCTGTAGAAATTGGTGTAATTGTGACACTGTCGCAAAAAAAGGCCCTAGTCTGATACACAGAACTTGCAGATCGTGGTCGATTTAGAACTTAAATATCAAGACTAGCATCATTTACAGGGCCAGAACTGAACAAGATGCCAATCTGATTAAATAGGAATTGGCTTATTATGCTGTCTGTGCCCCCTCCTATTAGGAGGTGGGCCATGGAATTCTGCACTAGCTGAAACATCAAATCTTCCTTTATGAGCAGCTCTAGATAGAGTCTAGTCTGGTAATGTATCCAAGATGCACTGCTAGATTGCATTCTTAGAGAGATGTTCAAGAAGTATGTGTCTCTAATTAGCTGTTAATGTCTTGTTTTGATTTTTAGGTAGCTACTGCAAGAATAAAGAAACTGGAAGAAAACATTGAGGCAGAGAGAGCTGCACATCTGGAGTCAAAATTTAATTCTGAAATAATTCAGGTAAATCGGTGGCAGATGTTATAAAACATTGATGAATGCATCCCAGGTTAGCTTTCACCTGAATGATTAGCACACCTTCAGTCATACTAAGATACAATGCTATATTTTAGTACATGAAATTAATAGATTTTGGAGGTAATTTACTAGGGCAAAATGCTCTAGACTATTTGATAATTGGCCTGTACAAGCTTCCTGTAACAACCTGATGGGCAAATTACAGTATAAGGGGCTTTCAGAGAGAGATGATAGTCTTGTGCTTTGCTGGTATGCCAGAGCTACACCAGCTTGCATCTTGGGCCGGCTCAAGGCCTCAGGTCACAGCATTGCAATGGCTTGGTGACCTTTGCCTCTGAACATAAGCCATTATTCCCTATCCTTTAAGCATGATATTCATTGAATAGTAGAGCTGGAAGGGACCTATAAGGTCATCAAGTCCAGCCCCCTGTTCAATGCAAGACTCCAGGTTAAAGTATACCCGACACATGGCTGTTTAACTGCCTCATAAATGCCTTGGTTGTGGGAGAGCCCACAATCTCCTGGGGTAATTGGATTGGAACAGATTGTAGGATTGTGTGCTCCTTCTCACCCCCGTTCCACTCTCCAGGGTAAAACTGTGCTTTTTTTGCCCTGCAGCTGACTTACTGTAAGGCAGGGCTAGACAACCCCAAGTGTGAGTGTGTGTGTGTTGGGGCAGCATGGAATGTTCAGAGTGTCTCCCTCCGGAATCTCACTTTTCTTCATTCCCCTTCATCATTTTGGTATGGGATTTTTGTCCCCAACTCTGTAAAAGCCCTTTGGAGTATTCCCCAGTTTTATGGGAATCAGCTTCAGGGCAAATGAAGGTTAGTGAACACCCCAGCTTGACCCTGCTGGGTTCTGCCACATTGTTCCATTGACTATAATAGAGCTGGAGACAAGGATCCCCTGCCAAATACTGCTGGGAAATTCCCTCATCACCAAGGGCCCTGTTGCCCCGATGGATCTGGCAGGGCAGGCTTCCCGCCAACCGTTTTTCAGCAGGGCACCATTTTTACCCTGGAACAGTCGAAATCAGTGGAGTGATATTAGTGGAATTGAACAGAGGTTTGACAAAGGTCAGGGGAAAGGGGCCTTGTGATCACACTGTGGGGAGTCTTGCTGGGTTCCGCATTGCTTATGTGGCAGTATAAATCTCAGTTAAGACTCAATAGTGTTTTCTCCTGAACACTCTGTAGTTAAGGGAAGGAAGTTAGATCTGCCCACAGGTCCTTCCTGAGAGGCCTTCAAGGAGGAATACAGCTCTGCCTGCACAGTCATTGACTTGCCTAATAATTAATCTGATGTAGGGCAAGGAAATAACAATAGACTTAAAACGTTGATTGTTTCTTCTGATCCATTTGCAGTTGAGAATTCGAGATCTTGAAGGAGCTCTGCAAGTGGAGAAGGCCAGCCAAGCAGAAGCGCTCTCTGATTTGGAAATGATCAAAGGCAAATTTAAAGAGGTAGAAAATGCCTATGAAAGAGAAAAGCACAATGCTCAAGAGAGCTTTGAAAAAATCAACATGTAAGTTCCTTATTTCCGGATTCAGAATTTGTATTTCTTTGGAACTGAGTGTGCGAAAAAATGAAATAATTACTCACCTTTATGTAGCACAAAGCTGATAACTGACATTTTTAAAAGGTCAGCGATGTGATATGTGATTAACTTGTTTTGTGAACTGTACTTACTTACTTATTAGATTTCTAACCCGCCCCACTAGCCATGCAGCTCCATCGGCAAGTAACAACCTCTTGATTTTGTAAAGTTGCCCAGAAAACTGTATCTGAGCAATATATGGTCCAGTGCAGGTTCCAGGGGTAGGTGGGCAGAAGAAGAAGAGGTAAGGCACTGCCATCCTCTTGAGGAAATGGACAGTCTAGATGTTTTGGAGGGAATGAGAGTTTAGAGACAATCCTAATTTCTGTATTTTTCTAGCTGTTCATTAGTTGCCTGTAATCCTCTGAGTTTGTAGGGATACAGGTAGCCATATTGGATTGTTGTCTTAGAGTCCTTCCTCTCTTTTAATCCCAAAATAACTTCTTTAGACATAAAACCCACTGAATGATTTCTGAGTAGATATGTGTAGGTTTGGAGTGTAAGGGAGGAAAAATCTCAGATTTTTTAACTGTACTACTCAGGTGAAAGAATGTTACTACAAATACCAAAAATACATTTGATGTATGTAATGTGTGCATTTGCTCTTGCACACTCATGCACATACACACTGCAAAGAATTAATTAAAAGAAATTAAGGGATGCAATCTAATTCACGTTTAGATGAGAAAAAGACCTATAGCTCCCAGCATTCAAGGAGCTGTAGGACTTGTTTCTCTCTAAATATACATAGGATTGTGCCCCATATAAATAATCCTAAAATTCATATTTAATGAAAAAGGCCCTCTCATATAATCCACAAAAATCATGAAGTGCTTCTTTTAAAGACTGTTTTGTAATAGATCAAGCACCATCATTCCATTTTTTTCATGAACACCATTCATCAGCTAAATGTTTCTTTTCTATTATCTTGCTATCCTTAGTCAGGCTCCAGCCAAAAGATTATTTATTATGTTCATCATCTTTCTATATCGACTTATTCAGGATATTCCATCATGGTACTTGAGATTTCACTGGGTCATTATGATGTACTAGAAGCATCACAAAGTTTGGTGTGTTATTCCAGAATTTTAGAACTGGATCATAATGTTGTTAGAGAGAAATGGTTTCTACAGTGGAAGCCTAACACTGCCATTTTGCCACTGAGTATATATTAAAAATAAAAAACTTACCCAGTGTAAAATCCCATTGAGAAAGTCTCTGATAAAATAAGATGGGATGCTGCTGCTTCCACTGAATGGCTGACCTGGTACCACATCAGTAGAACAAGTTCCAAACTCTGAGGAACTGCAGATTTCAAAGCCTTGTCAGGCTCATTCTGATAAGGCAGAAAGAATTACCTGGTTACCTGAAGGAGCGCTTACATCCATATATGCCCGCCCGCCCCTTGAGATCTGCGGGAGAGGCCCTTCTCCGGGAACCCTCCGTGAAAGAAATTAGAAGGGTAGGTACTCGGAGGAGGGCTTTCTCTGCGGTGGCGCCCAATCTATGGAATGCGCTCCCCAGAGAGGTCCGCCTGGCGCCGTCGTTATTTGTTTTTCGGCACCAGGCGAAGACCTTTTTATTTAAGCGTCATTTTTATTGTTAATATTATGCTTATTTTATCTGGCCAGGGCGACTTATTTTATATTGTTATTTTTTGTATTTTAACTTTATGTTGTGAGCCGCCCCGAGGCTTCGGCGAATGGGGTGGCATAGAAATGTTTTAATAAATAAATAAATAAAATTGTGGGAGCTACAGCATTTTTGCTGCTGCTATATTTTCCCCTTTATGGTCCTTCAGCAAAAACAAAACACCGGTGTTACTCTAACTGAGAATTCCTTTCAATGGGAAGGAATTAACCTATTTCAGCTCAATGGCTGACCTGGATAGCTGCTCATTGTTTTTATTCCAGGCAAGTCCAGGGACCAGAAGGGTGCTGGGAATCCTCCATATCCATTTCCTTTCCCAGCACGTCCCAACACACCCCTGGAAAACCTCCTCTGCCTTCCCCCAAATTTCAGCATTCTGATTTCAGCAGACTCTGAGAGGGGGATTCTGAGTGGGATCTCCCTCTCCAACCTTCCTTTCTGTCCTTGGAGGAGGTACTCTAACATGTCCTATGGGTACTTCGGCAATCTCACAGTGACCATAGGTTGTGCGCTTAATTCTCAGTTTTCTGTTCTTTCTCTCAGATTTCTTGAGTGAAACACCTACTACAGTGGAACTAGCTGCCTAGGGAGGTTGTGGGCTCTCACACACTGGAGACATTCAAAAAGAAACTGGACAGCCATCTGAGTGGGATGGTGTAAGCTGGTGTCCTGCAACCGCAGGGGGTTGGACTCGATGGCCTTCATGGCCCCTTCCAACTCTACTATTCTATGATTCTATGAGTCTGCTTTCTTGAAATTCAAGGCTGTCTTTCTGTGAGAGAGAGAATCCTAAAAATGAGCTAAATGGGAAGCATGTCCTAGTCTTTATGGCAATGGACACATTTATTTTTACTATTGTCTTCAAAGCTGTTCTGATTTTATTCATGGTGTGCACTTCACTATCAATTTTCACATAAAAGTCTTGCAACTAGACACTAATGTTGGTGTGTTTTTTATTCCTGAAGCTTTAAGTGAGTCTTGCTTCAATCTGGAGTGTAATGTAAACATAAAACGTACTTTAGTCAGTGAGGTAGAATCCAGGAGCACCCTAGAGTTGGTTCTATTGCTCAGTAGCATGTACACATAAAATCAGGCCACAACCACTGCCAAGGATGTGCTTAATAAATCCTACTTAAGCTTTTTTTTTCTAATTACACCCACTTTTTGAGCCCACATTTTGCATTTGCAAAGCCCCAGGTTTAGTCCTCAGTATTGTCAGTTTTGAGAAATTATCAGGTAAGAAGTGATGCTGCTTCTTGGGTAGTAAAGGATAGTACTGGGCTATCGTCTGTGTATACAGTCTGACCTACTGTATGGCAGCTTCCTATGTCACTAACTGCGCTTTAAACACTTGCCAGGGACTATTTACTTGCAGGGGACTTGACGTCCTGTGGAAGTGAATTAGATTATTCAAAATGCAGACATTGCTTCTGGCTAGTAAAAAGAGGCTCTGTAATGGCACGGTCACAGGATCCTAGAAGTTAGACTGCATGTTCCAAATCTGCATCTACAGCTTTAAGCACCAGCCCCTGTTACAGCTCAGCACAGGTTTTCCAAGATAAGCTTGAACAGTGCAGACTGTCTCCTTTTAGCAGTTTCAGTGCCAGCTGGATCTGTAAATCTGAATCTCTGGAGAGCCATTAGTGCTTCCTTTAGTAGTTTATTGATAGGGGAAAAGTTCCAGCCTCTTTGTGCCTGCCTGCTGGTTTTCAGGCCTTCACAGCATCTCTGTAGGGGCGCGGCTTGTGCAAAACCAATCTGTGCTAATTTGAGGGGGGGCATAGAAAGGGAGCCTGAGTGAAATCAGGAAAGACAGAGCAGTTACTTCACATTCCCCTGGGGTAGTCTGAGAAGAATTGGGAAATCTCTCCAAGACCAGTCAAGATTCTCAAGGCTGGTTCAAAAATGGGTGATAAGAGCAGGGAAGAAGGTTGTCCTGCTGATTTAGTGGCAGAGGAGACATGGGCCTTTGGTTTGAGGCATAGTAGCTTGAAATTCGAAGCCAGCTCTGCCAATTAGAGTCTCCTTCCTGACAGCCACCTGTTCATCCTCATTGCAAATGCCTCTCTTCCTCTTGTCTGTGGCATAAACAGTCAGAGTGATGCTCATGTACAAAAGTCTCTAAAGTTTAAAATGTTACTGTTAATTTCAGAATGTTATAACGGTCCCAGAAATGATCAAGCAGGCATGAAAAATAAAATAATTTACATTTCATAAAGATTGGGCTTCTCAGTTGCAATAAATGCATAGTCATCTGTGTATTAAATATATATAAAGAGTTAGAGTACTGTCCGTTTCAGCAAAGACAAGCCAGATAACTCTGTCTATGTTTAGGTGATATCTAAATGCCACCTGTTCAAAGGTTGGAAGAGTCAATAAGTCCTCATTCCACTGGTTTTCTACTCAGTGTTCTAATAACAGTTGTTCAGCTGTCACAGGGCGTGGAAAATCTATTTGCATTGACCTTGTGTGGGATTCCAGGAAGCAAGTAGACAATTAAGCAGACCATGTAGTTCCATAAATGTTAAAGAGATTTCTGATAAAAAGTTTATCTACCATACCGAATGTTAAGGAGCTAACAGTTTCTTGGCCAAGAGAAGCATGTATTCCACATTCATGTGGCCCCTTGAAAACAATCAATTTCACTTAAGTGTTGTCAACTTATTCTGTGTTAATCTTGGTACATTTATGTATAATTGTGTAGAAACAATCACGAGCCTGATCCTGCCGTGTCTGGTCTGGATTTGGTGGGGAGCTCAGGAAGAGGACCTTTTCAGAGGCTACACCCTGTCTTAGGAACCCCTTAACACAGGAGTTTTCCACTGACAGATGAAACCACTTTTTACACAATTTAAAATTTAGCCTATGTTTTTCTCTGCTATATTGTGTTTAATTTGCATTTTACCGGAGCAAATTACGATGTTTTAACTGGCTGCCATTTTTATAAGCTTTTATTTATTTATTAGATCTGTAGTGCATCTTTTCTCTTTGAAAGAACTTAAAGGGACTTACAGCATTTTCCTCCTGTTGCTCTCCATCTTATCCCTGCAGCAACAACCTTGTGAGGTAGGTTGGTCTGAGAGCCTGTGGCTGGCCCAAAGCCACCCAGTTGGCTCCATGGCTGGATGGAGACTAGTGCCCAGATCGCCTGTGTCCCAGTCTCATGTTCTTAACCACTACACCACACTGGCTCTCTTAACTCAGCTCTTTCTTCAGCCTTCTCCAACTGGCTGCCTTCCAGATTTTTGGACTTCAGCTCCCATGGTCAGGAATACTGGGGGTTGTAGTCTAAAATGTCTGGAAGACAACAGGTGAGGGGAGAAAACCTTAGCTGCTCATTTTGATGGCTTTATATTGCTTAATTTTTACAGATGTCTTGCATTGCATTGCATTGTTAGCCACCAATATATAGTGCCTTTAGCAGGACAGTAATGTAAAAATGAAACAGTTAAATAATAATTGTAAGGCAGATGAGGGGCTTGGCTGATCGGAAGGAGCTTGTATCTGCTTACACACCTCTGCAGCCTGCTAAAAGGAGGCAGCTAACATCCTTCTGTTGCTTTCTCCAGTCTAGTACTCTGCAGACCTTTTTGGCTATAACTCCCCTCAACCTCAGGCAGCAGAAACAGTGGTCAGAGATGATGGGAGTTGTCAGCCAAAACATTGGATGGCACCAGATTTGGAAAGACTACTCTGTCCTGTTATTGCAAGGGCTAAGCTTCTCCCCTTTAAGTGGAATTGGGTGAGAGTGCAGTGAGGAAAAGGAAGGGAGGATTCGTGGCTTAGTAGTGGAGCACCTGCTTTGTGTGCAGAAGGATCTGAGTTCCATCCCTGGTACCTCCAGGAAAGGGTGGGGAAAAAAATCCTGCCTGAAACCGTGAAGAGCCATTGCTGCCAGTCAGTGTCAATGGGTGAACCCATGATCCGATTCAGTGTAAGGCAGCTTCCCCTGTTCCTTATAGGCATGATTCATTTCTCCCACTTAAAGAGTGGAAACTGCTTGCTCCTCCGTTTTCCTCGGCAGGTATCAAGCATCATGCAAAGGAATACACATCTCCTCCATGCCACAGTTCAATCACTAGGCCATCTTTCTGCTACTGTTGCATGAAAGTTTATAATCATACAGCCATACTTTTATGAGCCTCTGAGTGTTCCAGGTATAGAGAGAGATGTTTAGAATACCACTGGTTCACATTTATCAAAGATTTAGAATGCAAATGGATCTTCTTTGAGACATCCTGTAGATTCTTGCCTGTAATTCTATCTGATCTTCTCTATAATGAGCCATTCTCCCAATATGGTGATTTGCTAAAATTGTTTTTATATTAGCACTTTCTTAGTGGAAATCATGTTAAACCTATATGACTTTGAAGATCTCATTACAACGTTATGAAAAAGCATTCTAACAAAAAAGCATTGACATTCTCTAATACCCTCTCATCAGAGACCCACAAACGTGTCATTTTATTGTAAAGCTGGAAAAAAACTGAATTGCAGCCAGCTGTCAGCATCTGTTTATACTGATAGATGAGAGACTCTGCTTTGTTACTTGAGATTGTCAAACTTTTTGCATGCTTTATTTAATTTATAATTTGAAATTTGTTTTCTTGCAAGTCATTCTGCTCTGGATGTATCTTCTTCCAAGGGTATTGCCCTTTCAGGTAGTTCTTATATTACTTTGCATCAGTTTTTATTACTTTCACACTTCCCCATTCTGTTCCTTAGTCTAATGACCATTTCATCCACCAATTTCTTTAATTTCTCTAATATATTCACTTTTTATGTTTTCTGCTTTGAATACTTACTGGAATATGTATCATCTTTATTCCCAGTTTTCTTTTGTTGTCATACATTCCTCAAAACAACCATGCTCATAGTAGGTTTTGTGTAATTACATCTCTCCTGTAACATATAGCAGTGCTGTTCTGAATGGAGTGCTATTGGACTAAGCAATCTTTGTCAGGGTGTTCTGAACTGAAGCATTCTATCTTTCAAATCATATATTTTAAATATTTTAAGGGTATGTAACAAACACTATTAAAGGGCGTATGTTTTAAGGTCATAGTTAAACTAATTTCACTGTTGTTAACTTCCTGCCTCCAATGGAATTCTCTTAGGGACGTAACAATCTAGAGATGAGATTCTCTAGCATATTATACAAATGGAAAAGAGAGATTGGTTCAGTTCAGGTGTAATGTCACTGTGGGTTTAGAGACCCTTTCCATAGGTATACAAAATACATAGCTTGAGGGGGGGGAAATAACCAGTGGATTCATTGCTGACAAGGAGTGCCACTAGCATATCTGGCCCATGCAGTTCTGGAAGTTGAGGAAAAACTGGCAGAGACTATGATAGTTTCTAGCAATCTAGCTATAAATCGCCCCAGTGCATTTAAGCTATGATTATAACAGATCATGGAAGGTTTTTACAGATTGATACATGAGAAAAAAAGTGCAAGAGGCAGAAGAGGCTTCATGAGCATGGAGTACATGCCCAATTTCCAAATCGTAGTTGAGAGACTGAGATCACTATGTCTGAACTGGACCAAAGTTTCAAGCATTTAGGACTACTTTAGTCCTACTTTAAGGACTAATAAGTCCTACTTTAGGACTTATTGCTTAGGTGGCAAATATATAATAGCATAAAATCCATCTTTTTAAAAAATGGAAATTCCATGCTCTGGCACGGCATGGTTTTTAGTGTCATTTTACAAGTTTACATAACTTGATGTTAATTCTAGAAGATTTTCAGTGAAATTGTGGAAACGTCTGTGTTATCTAATGATGTTTTTCAACTTTCATGTTATAAACTCTCTCATGTCAAACACAATATATTGTTTGGCTGGGTTTGCCAATCATAAGAAACCATGGTGAGTGTTCACGCTTGTTGTCTTGTCATGTTCTCAGAACCAAGTTGTGGAGTTTTACTATGATAAAAGCTACAGAGAGCTACTACAGTTTGCTGTAAGGTTTCCATGCTTCTCTGGGGCCTCTCATGTACAGTGGTACCTCGGCTCACAAACGCCTTAGTCCTCAACCAAATCAGGTTGTGAACAGAAATGTGGGAACATTTTTTCCTCAGGTTGTGAACTCCGCATCGGGTGACGATCGTGGGTGTGCTCGGAGGGCAGGTGGGAATGGCTAGGATCTCACCCGTCTCCCCCATGAGCGTGCTCGCGCCTGCCTCCCACACAAGCACGCCTGTGATTGTGCCCATCTCCCCCCAGCGCGTCTGTGATCGTGCCCATCTCGCCCCTCCCCCCGAGCACGGCCGCTATCGTGCCCATTTTCCCTGTGATTAAAAAAGATAGTTACTGAACCTTATGGGGAAATTTGACTTGGCTCACGACCAATTTGGGTTGCGACCAGAGTCGTGGAATGGATTAAGTTCGTGAGCCAATGTACCACTGTAGTCTGGACCCTGTAGCTGTATTTTATCTTTGGTGGTGAAGAAATACCATACAGTACCATGGAAAGAGCAAAAATGGAAAGGAGCTGCTTCAAGTAGCCAATCTCTACTACCTGATGCTCCCTAGGAACACACTTTCTTTGGTCCTTTTGGATTAGCAAAGTGCCTCTCACCCTGTTCACTTTCTGCAACAGGGAGAAAATAGGCGAATGCACAGAGGGAGAAGGGGGTGATCATGGTAAAAGTGTTTAATTATAAAAAGCTTTTGGGAGCTTTGAACTGGCTAGGAAATTCTATAGAGATGTAGGTACACTTGATAGGGCAAAGAGGGAGAACCTACCACAGAACTTCAGCAGACAAGAGGCACCTGAGGTTGATCGGAAACAATGCAGCACATAAGGGGATTTTTCTTGCAGGGGCTGCTAGGATATGTGGTGAGAGTGGGATGACAGAATGGGGAGAATGGAAATGGTGGGACTGTCTGACCAGTGGGTCCATGCAAAAAATCATGAGTCATGGAAACTGTGTAGGGTATTTGCCATGATGTGTGAACCCAGTCATTATAGGCAGTATCCAGGACGACATATGCGTTATGTTTTTGTTACAGTTGAGGTCATTTAAACTAGTGTTAAATCATTTGCATATGCAAGGGGGACCTGTTGGATACCGCCCTACTGGTGTGTTTCAGGCAGTTGAAATATTAGTGTTTCTTAGTGTCCATGTAGCCTGAAGTGTCTGATTCTGATTAATCTTGGAAGCTAAGCAGGGTTGGGCCTGATTGACATCTGGTGGGTGACTTAAATGTTATGAATTGTCCAGAGAGCTTTGGTTACAGGAGGTGTAGAAATGAATTGTAATAATAATAATTTCTTTAGTATCTTTATAAATTTTTTAAAAGTAAACACAAGTAAACATCTAATGATGGTACAGAAATGCATTTTATATACCATCTGTTGGAATCTGATCTCACAGTGGTTAAAATTCTTGCTGAAAATTCTGTTCCATCTTTCCAGTTTAGAAAAAGAGTATCTTACTATAAACAAACAGCTAAATGGAGAGATAGAGGAAAAGAAGAAGGCAATTACAGACCTCTCCGAGAAACTCAAGAATAATGAGAAAAGTTACAAAGAATTACAGGACGAACTTCTCCTGGTAAGAGAGAAAAATTGCTATGTGTGTTGCTATGTAAAACAAAACAAAACCCCTCAAAACTGTCTACCTTTAAAACATCTAAAATCTCCTGCTTCATTCATTTTTAAAAATATATGTCTCACAGGTAAGCAAGCCCATTCTTATCCGTGAATTTGATGCTGGGCTAGTATCACTGCTGTGTTTTGTTTTGTGTGTCTGTGCTTGTCTTTGTGCATACTATGCGTGAAGGCCGAAAAATGCAAGACCTGTTGATAGTTTGGCAGTTAATGGTGAACAAAATGCATCTTGTACTGGGGGGGGGGGAGCACAAAGTTTAACCCAGAGATACCATATTTATAAATGGTTTATACTTCCCCTTCATGCTGTGCTACCCAAACAAAAATAGATACATTGAGACTGATAAGGGGGTATCCAGTGCAAGAAACCTGCCAGCACAGGACCGACTGCTAGCACAACAGGAAGCGAGGGCTAGTTGCATGTAGCACTAGGTTTCTCTTATGCTACCTATGATTTCCACTAATGCTATGACAGCATTGGATGCTGTGTGTACATTTTTCTTGAGGTTTATCTGAAGCCTTGGAATATCAACCAGGAGCTGCGTGAAATAGAGATCCAGTCAAATTTGTATGTACTCTTCATGTGCTATAGAACTGTGTATTGTAATTCAGCTGGCTGTAAATTTTTCCACACTGAATATTGTTCAACAAAATAATTTATTTTGTGTGATCACTTCTTCAGAAAGCCGTTGAAGTTGCATTCTGCTTTGCCACTTTTCAGAATAAGACACTTCTACATTGGAATGTAACTGACTGAAGGTTTATACCAGTATTTCACTTTTTAATTAATTTTTAAAAGCAGTATTTATCTAATCCAATACATCTAATCCAATACATCCCTTTTCAGACTATATGAAAGGGGCATTTGGGACAAATGCAAACAAAGCTATCTCATTAGAAGACTTCTTTGTAAGCTGTTTGTGGTCACCATTACTGGCATTGTGTATAATTACAAATCATTAGCAGCACAACTCTGTGGCCACTAGACACTGTCTAAGAACAGTCACAGAATTTTCAGAGAGGTTGGAAAAGTGCTTGGACCTTGTAGCTGGGTTTCCAGGCTTGAAGTGCCCTTCCTGTCCCTTGTAGCCAGTGTGGGAAGAACCATATTGGCTGTATCTCCAAGTTTAGACGAAAAGGAGGCACTTCATCCTCCTTTTCTCACACTCTGAGGTGCAACTGAATTTGGCCCTCTTAATTTTTTTTTCCGGGGCACCCTGCATAGTATGTCTGAAATCCTCTGAATTCAGAGGATTATAGGAATTCTGACTGGATTGTACCCAGAGTTATTTTCATTCACTTGCTGGGGGCCTCATTAATGCATTATTCAAAATTGTGAGAGCATTCTAATGATTATCAGGTCCAAGTAGAGCTATGTGTGAGCTCTCTCTCTTCTCCTTTCCACCTCCTTCCCTCTCTCTGCGGTCTTCAAACATAGCTGGAATCTAAAGGGTGACACAGATTACCTCAGCAACTTGGGTTGGAACTCAGGAGCCTGATACCCTGGAGAGTGCAAGTAGAATCCTGCAGAACCCCTTGACCTGGAGTTTCAAAGTAGTACATAGCAGTAAATATGAGTATTTGCAGAGGAATTGGTCTGAAGGTACATGATGCTGTCCTGCTGGTAAAACCAAGCAGGCCACTAGCCCTGTAAGATGCTCGCATAGGAAATGATCTGTGATCTATGGGAAATTATGTGTACAACCCACCTGGAGGATTTCTAAGGAAGTGCAGAGTATAAATGCAACACATATGATTTCATACGGAAACAGCATTGGTTGGTTTCATTAAAAGTCTCTAAAATTGCCACACTGATTTGGGCTATTTAATATAGTTTCAGTCCTGGGGTCTGTATATCTAGCATTCCATTTCAAATAGTAGCTGGACAAGTGCATCTGGAAAGCTGCATGTAGGACATGAAGGTAGTGGCCCTCCTTTCTGTCATAACTGGTTTTATAGTTAAGAACTGGTGTCTTTTCCAATGGTTCACCAGGTACCCCATAACTAAGGTTGTTCAGGGCCTGATGACCTTGGAATGGCTGTTTGCTTTGGGCCAGCCCAAACTCGAGAAATGGCTGCACTGTCTTCTGCCTGCTCAGAGGTAAAGCTAAACTGGCAGATGATGGGAACTTTCTGCATCCTATGATTTTCCTTCATTCATTCCATGCTTGTTGCAAGTGGCCGGGGAGGGGTTTGTTAGAAATGCAGAATTCTCTGAATTCTGTACATCAGTTTGGGATTTAACTGTTGCTCTGAGACTGCAGTTAGTTGAAGTGAATCACTGCCATGCATATATACTGACAGTACAAAGGGCATCACCATCCTTGACTTTTTTGTCTTATTTATTCGATAGTTTTTCTTGGTTGTTGTCTTAGGCCTTATAGTTTGGATTGTGGAATGGATTAGCCCTCTACTCTGAAGCCCCCCACATGCCTTACAGCTTTGCTTCCAGAGGTTGGAGCAGATATGGGGAGCATGCAGCTGAGTGGAGGAAGGGCTAATCTCATGGTACAGGCAAAAGACTGTTCACACAGTGTTGGATGTAGCCCCCTGACCATATTTCCTCTCCTTTGAAATGGTTCTGTAATGCTTAGGGAACTAGTCTTACAGGCAACAAACACAAAATAATATTACTAATTTCTTCTGCTACAGGCGGTTGAATATTAGTACTGAGTAGTTTAGATATTCTTCCATCTTAGGTAGGCAGATACAGTTAATTCACAAGAGAGAAAAAGAAAGTTCATTTGCTCTCTCTAGGTCATCATCAGACTACAAATAGTTGATAACCCTTTTCCCTTTGTACAAATAATTCTTTCATGTTTCTAGCTCAGAGTTCTGCATTGACAGTAAAGTCTGTTTTAGATAGAGTTTTGAAAGGGAAAAGGGGCATTTTTTAAAAAATTGCTTGCTCAGAGGACTTATTGGGAAATGTCTGAATTTGAAGAAAGTTTGTACTGAACAATTTAAAGCTCAAGCAGATTCATTAAGAGTTGGAAAAGGTTTAAATGCACTTGTCTGCTCCTAGAACCTTCTGTGGATCAAAACTTATTATATTATCTCTTGCTATTTTATCTGCCCAAGCTGGTATTAAACCTATCTGTGGTCTCACTCACTGACCATAATTTGGATATTCTCAAAGGAATAGTTACTCTTTAGCTTTTTCTAGACTATTAAGTGTGGAAGCAATTTAAATTCACACACTTTAAGACCAGTGGGGGACCATTACAATTATCTAGTCTGACCTCATGTGCACACAGGCTATGGTTGGATTAAAGTGTATCTTTCAGAGAGATTTCTTATTTCAATTTAGCAACTCCATTTGGTACTGAATTGACTATTTTGTTTTCAAAGTGGTTCTCTATAATTATCCACAGTACTAGGAAGTTAAATCTCTTTTCTTATTCTTAACTTTTGCCTTCAGGTATTAGAACATGTATCACATTTTTGCATCACCGAGGACCAGTACACAAATAAAACAGGATCTTTAATTATGGTTAAGGAATCAATTTGTGCTTTGGATTAGCTGCTTACTCCCATTTCCAAAGGAAATTTCCTTTTGGCCTTAATAATGATTTAAAGTTACAGTTTTGCCAGTCTGAGCTATGATTTACATTAATGATAACATTTAATGAACAGGAATTTCATTGGTAAAGTTAACTGTGATTGTTAGTGCCAATATACTCCCTTTTATGGTGAGTGGGAAGAATTGAGGTCAGAAAGGGTAAGGGTTAGGATTCTGTGGGGTTATTCCTAATTTCTTATTTTATTTATTTATTTAAAGTTTTTATATGCTGTCCACTACTAAAGTCTCTGGATGGCTTACAAAGAACAAAACCCCAAAGAAACCCAAACAACCATATACAACACACAACACACTGCATTCAATAAATAATGATAAAATCAAGGATAAAACCAATTAACTGTTAAAAAATGGGGAAGAACAGTCTTTGACTGACACCGAAAAGAATAAATGATGGTGCCAGGCAAACCTCCCTGGGAAGCGTGTTCCACAGGCAGGGCACCACCGCTGAAAAGTCCCTTCTCCGGGTAGCTACCCTCCTAATTTCCTTCAAAGAGGGCTTCCAGAGAAGGACCTCTGCCTCAGATCTCAAGGGGCGGGCCGGCGCATAGGGAAGAAGGCGCTTCTTCAGGTATCCAGGACTCAAGTCGTTTAGGGCCTTATTCGTCATTACCATCGTTAAGAGTCAGTCTATGTTAAGTTTATATGGGCCTTAAAAATCAAGACCCGTGTAACCATTAACAAACAGTATACAGCTTCCCATAGCTTTCTATCTCATATGTTCAATAGAAGAAGCAAGTTCTTGAACATTCGTGAGCTTCCATGTGTTGAATTGGAAGTCATTCTCAAAAATATTGATGATGCTTCCATTTGTATGTGCATTTGTTCCATTTGTATATTATCCTTGAATTATCCTTCTATTGATATTCAGAAGTCTGTTGTAAGCCATATTTTTTCTATGTTCATCTTTTCTGTGAAGCCATTTTTTGATGATTTTTTCAGTACTGTTGTATCCTTCTCAAATTGTGACTCATCCCAAGTACAATGTTTGAGCAGGCATTTTTGCTCCCTCTGTTTTTCTGCGTTCCCCCAATTAATTGTGGAAAGTTCATGTTTAAGACAGTTAACCATCTGTGATCTCTCAGGAGTTGCCCAGAAAGCATAGGGTCTCTAGATCTACTTCTCCTAAGTGACAGCCTTCCAAGGTTTTTGCCTCAGAATCTGAATCAGAACCGAAAGAACAATTGAAATTCTTTAGCTGAAATGCAAAGGCCAAGGCCGGATAAAAGCCAAGAGGCAAGTGAAAACCAGGCTACCCTCTGGTTCAGTGGGAAACACTGTTGAACAAGCAGAGCTAGACAGGGAGCATTGAATTGTTATTCTATACATACGGTGTCAGATCAAGAAAGCAGACCAATTGCGTA